TGAGGAAGGAGCGAGCTACACTGTAGTGATAAGAACTCGTGGAAAGTAGTGCAGTCATAAAATGGAAATGGTGATAGGCACACTTAAAATTATACAGCTCATTTTGTTAAAACCTTATCCCTAATTTCTTGCACGCGAAGACTTCCCCATTTTTAACACTACATGTAACTTTGCACAAACAGCCTTACACTGGTATTTTCACCAGTTAAACGAAATTGGTATAATACACCCCCCTCTTTTGCTAATGACACTGAAGCACACACCACCAAACAATTCCATTAATTTTCTGCAGTATTTTAGGAAAGATTCCCTTGCTTTATAACAAAACACTGCTTAGTCACCTCAACTGCAATTCTCCAGCATGGTATCACCTATACAGATCTCACTGTAAATGTGTTTTTGCTTCAAATGTTTAGTGTCATAGTCTGCATTCAGCAGCCTCTGCTTAAACTGAGCTCACACCCTTTATCCTCTTACCAGCCTCAACACTTCAGAGGAATATGAATAGCAGCAGCTACCACCTGCTGCTTATTTGCCCTGTCTGAGATTCTGGACAAATTCTGAAAAGGCCTAACGGAACAATGAATGAAAGACTTATGACGCCCATGGATGGCATTACACAGTATCTGGAAGAACCATCATTCCTTTCTAAGAAGGAGATGTCCAACCATAGCTTGCATATTCTAAGCAGCACATCTGGAAAATTCATCTGTCTGTGGACCACTTCTAGCCATTCCTTTCCTCAATAGCCTCAAGAGGCAAAGAGAGTGTAAGTGGTCTGTTTTTTCTGGTTGCAACCTACATCCTATCTTTCTCAGAGCTCCTGAGCACCTTCACATCACAGCATGTGCTGCAGGTCAACTGCATGGGCAGGGCTGACTTCCTATGGCACCGAGAAAAGTACTGAATCCACCCAGGGAGAGGTTATGTGTGGATGTGAATAAAATTCTCCCCTTGGATGCCCCCAAGTTAAAAATAGTTATTTTAAAGGAAACCAATTACTCTCCGTATCAGACATCTATGTAATTCTGCAGACATGCGAAGTTATATAACAAATTAAGACCAATGAAAAAAGCACAGCGATAAAGTACAGTACAACTCACCAGACTTAGCAGCTCTCTCTCGTCCTGTTCTGTCACTAGATACAGCTCTTCTGTCCTGTTCTATTCTGGGAGCTGGACCCAGTATCTTTTTTACTAGCTTTTGTCCCTCCCGCCAGGAGGATGCACTTATTACATAGTTTCCACCTGCATAATAAATAATAAATAAAATTAAAGCACAAGATGGATTTTTCCAATGTATCACAAAGCAGTAAGTATTTCTTGCAACTGTCACTCATTACTGTACCACTTAATTCTGTGTACGTGGTACAGCTACAGTTATGTGGTCATGATAACAATGTACCATGAAGACACCCAACAGCTGAATCACACAACTATCAGTGCTTCCTGCCTAAACATAACACAGCATGAAAACCCAAAATATACCGCAGAACATTACAGCCTTATGAAACCCAATTAAAAAAGAAAAAGGGTTATGTAGGCCTAAAACGTATAAGCAAATGTTACCTGGGAGAGACATTTATAGAGGACTGAGAAGCTGCTGTTCATCTCCACTTAAGACAAGAAAATATATAAAAAAGAGATGGAGGATCTAAAATGTTCTAATAAGAACAAATACAAAAGTGGTGTGTGAAGAACAAAGCTAATATCTTTTTAATATGAAGATGAAGCATTTCCTAGAAAGAACTTGCAACAGATTTCTACAGATAATTGCTGAGATAGGTGTCTTGTGAGGAGGTTAAAAAAATACTGAGCAGCAGTTGTCTTACACAGTGCTAATTCACTATCCTCTAACTGACACTTCCGTACCTTGACTGAAAAAAAATGAGGTATTACCCTAGTAGTTAATTCACTTAATTAACCTGGTAGTTAATTCACAACAGACTGCTTTGCAGATGGCATAAACCCAATCACAATGGTATTAGTATTATTTATCATAATACATGTAATTCAATTATGAAAATTGGTACTGGAGTATCTATACTTAGTATTAATGCTAAGTTCATTCATCTCATCTTTCCTAACACTAACTTCAAATATTATTAATCATGTTTTGAAATGTCTTAAAGCACTTTGGAGAAAAGCATCAAATAAAAGAGTAAAGTATTAATAAACTACTTCAGACCACTCCGAAATATTTAATTGCTAGAAAGATACCTAACTTGAATATTTTATTTGCTGTTGATCTCTTATCATTCAATTTCAGTTTTTGTCCCTACCAGGATTGCCTAAGCTCATTTGCTACAGCTTGAACACAACAGACAAGCAAGAAAGGATTGTTCTCCAGGACCCTACAGTACCAAAGCAACTTAAAGTGAAATCCAGAAGACCAGACCACTAGTGCTCTGGCAAGCATGGTCCTCGATCTTTTTCCTCTCCATTCATCCCCCTACTTTTTTTTTTTTTTAAACCAGAAAATCCATTCAGTAAGGAGTCTGTAACCCACTATTCATTTACTAACAGTCCTCTTCGCTTGCATCGTAAATTATCTGAGTATTTTATAAATCTGTTATTAGAAATATGTCACTACAAGACTCCTTCAAAGAGATTCATCAGCCAAAGGGCTTCTCTTGCCTGACTTGTAATTCTCAATTACTTCTATGCGCATTTAAAAAGGCAGTGTGGAGTCTCATCTTCCACTTCAAGTCAGCTGTTCGACCTAAAACAAGCTAACAGAGCAGAACATGAGCTGTAGCTATTTATAGCCTTGGCTATGTTAAGCAGTTTCTTACTGCGGCTGGAGAAGGATGGATCACCACTGATATGCCACTTTAATCTGGCTCACATTTAATCCACTACAGAGGATAACCAATACCACTAAAACTTGTGGCAATCTCTCCTGCCTCCTTTGGGACTGTCACAAATACTTCCATTGGTTTAGTACGTTTCCTTATGCATGAATTGATCAGCACAACGACTGCTAATTTTCTGTTTCCTATCACAACAAAATACCTGCATTCACCACAACGACTGCATGCAAAAATGCATACTCACTCTCAAAACCCTTCTGTAACAGTTTATAGAGAACAAGAACACACGCATCCTCAGTGCATCATACAATCTACATAACATTTTTGCATATCTGCAAAGGCATTGAAAGCAAGAGGCCTTATTTTTCTTTATTTCTGGAGACAAAACTCATCTCTGAAGCACACACAGCAGTCTAGAGCTAGTCACCTTGTTTAGACTCTGGACTTGCCGACCGTGTCAGTTTTTGAACCTTCCGCACTGGTCTGGTTGCTTTTCTCTCTTTGTTTTTCTCACAAGGTTTTTCTTTCATTGTTGAATCCTCTAAAAATAAACAAGAGCTATTGAGTGATATTACATGGGAAAGAACATATAATGGCAAGCTTGCCTCAACATTTATCTTGAAGAAGCGAAGCTCAGAGAAACACTGATTTTCCCAGATCATATACTGAGATCAACTACTCCCAGCCCAGTATTTTGGTATTCTTATAGCACGAAAATATTGAATCAAGTATTGTTTACTTATGCAGTGGAACACAATGAAGCCACAGCAAAGCTGTAATAAATCTTTACAAAGTTCATTTTCTATCTCAAATGCTGTTTTGACAGTTAGGAACGATTCTTTGTTCTCTTCTACTGTAACCATTCCATTTTAGAGCGTTCATGTTCCGTAAGAACACCCAGTTCCTTCACTGCTGAGGTACCCAGGCTGCTGCCTCCACATTAACACATGGCAGCACATCTGCTCACTGCCTCCGAGCTGCAGCATGAGACAGGACACCCGTGTGCTCTTCCTGCAACATTGGCTGCAGAATTCACCCAGTGACGCAGAACTATTCTGTATCACTGAAGCCCTCATTTACAACATCATTAGGTTTTAGGCTTTAGAGATGCCAAGAACACTTATCAAAATAAAGTCATTTTACCATGTTTTTACAGTTTTACATACAAAAAGGAAAATCGGACGTGGCTCAGTCACTACCCCACTGCCTGGGTTTCCCAGCTGCCGCAGGCAGAAAGCAGAAATGAGCAGAGCTCAGGAAGCTTTAAGACGACAAGCTGTATATTCAGTCTCAGCAGTCCACAGCAGGCAAGATACTTCTCCTAATCCCAGTAAAACCAGACTGTATCTAAGAAACGCTATGGCCACTATTAGCATTTTTTGCTCCTCTATCCAACATGGATCAAGATGAAGTTTTCACAGAATCACAGAATTTCTAGGTTGGAAGAGACCTCAAGATCATTGAGTCCAACCTCTGACCTAACGCTAACAGTCCCCACTAAACCATATCCCTAAGCTCTACATCTAAATGTCTTTTGAAGACTTCCAGGGATGGTGACTCCACCACCTCCCTGGGCAGCCTGTTCCAGTGCCTAACAACCCTTTCAGTAAAGAAGTTCTTAAAGTAAAGAAGTTCTTTCAGTAAAGAAGTTCTGTTTTATCAGTTTGATGCCAATACCAGCTTTTATGGCCTCTAATTTCAGCTGAATCTACTCTGATGGAGACACACAGGAAGGATCGGAGACAGAACAACAGGTGATGCTAAAGGGAATTTGAGGATTCTTTCTCCCCCTCTATATCCTTTCCCTACCAATTTTCCATTTATGTTCGACCCTGATAATGAGCACGGGGACAAGAGAATCAATGCATCAAGAACCAGAGGCCTCAGTGACTGCACTTGCAGAAATCTATTCTGTCTCCTCACCTCTCTCAGTGCCAGACAGTTCCTTCCTGATACCAGGAAACGACAAGCTGCTTCCCACTCACTCTGTTCATATTACAGCAATTTTGTTCAGTGACGCCAATTCTGAACATCTTTAAAATGGGATTATTGGAATCCTGGGATCAATATAATATCCTTCAGCCTAACTGGTAAAGATACTCTGCGTGGTCTGTGAAATCTTAGAGCTTATTTAAGCACTAGAGATTATGGAATAGTTTCAATCTAAGTGACTATACACACCCAAAAGTCCACATGCTCTAACTTTATTACAGAATTAACGCATGGACAGATAATCCTAGAGGCTAAAAATACATTTATAGTACATATTATGTACAGCTCCAGCATTTGATTACTTGGAATCAGCTATTCAATATAATCTCCTCAGGTCAGAAAGGAGACACATTCCACTACAGCTGTTCTACACATGGCATCACAACAGGCATATGGCTGAACATACACACAGCTTGCTCCTTTTGCAGACAGAAGTCTTTTGAAAACATGATCCAAATGCCTATCTTTTTAATTGGATCTCTTAACTGGACATATGAAACTTCAAAAATTCCCATTTCTATAAAGAGTTCATGAACCATTCATATTACGTTTGCCAAAACTAAGAAAAAAGCCAGCGTAGATTAAAAGTCTTTAGAAATTTGGCATTAAACACAAGAGCTAATGCTGGACAGAGTATTTACAGAATTATTTTATTGAGAAGAAGTAGCTGCCCTTCTGAACTTTTTTCTGAATGATTCCAGAAAAAAAAATTCTTGGTACCTCAGTATCAGAATCTTTGTTTCAGCAAGACCAAGAAAAAAATTCTCAAGCTGTACAAGCAAAACAAAACTGAAGTCTAATCATTTCCATATGAGCCACTACACTATCAGCATTCAAAAAGATACCTACAGTTTTACAATAGCATTGCATTTTCCTCTAATTTTAAATATGTTTTGATCAATGTGAGAAATTATTTTTTAATATGTAATAAGCAAGCTCTTAAGCTTCAAAACTAGAGGTTCTCAGGGGATGTTATTTGCTGTTCCTTTCTTTTTTATTCATCTCATCTCTTCCCCTTCCCCCCAGCTTAGTCAGTCAAAAGCAATTCAACCTTACAGCTCTTCACTCTAACCAGTCCAGCAAATCAAAAAGCCACTTGGGTATCCTACTACAGATTATCTAGAGAAAAGAGCTGTCAATGGTACTACAGTTTTCCAGAGTGAAAAACGAATAAAGATTGGGTCTTAAAGCAGTAAATCTGAAAACATAAAGCACATGTTACATCTCTGGTCTCTTAGCAGCTTAACTTTAAAGCAAATTACAGCAATTTTTATAATCTTTGCTCAGTTTTAAGCATCAAAATCTTGTGCTACTAAATAAGCTCATTACCTAAAAAAAAATAAAAAAATCCTTCTTCCTGTGTTTCCAGTCTCCAAGAACAGTATTTAATGCTTTGCAAAAGGTCATCAAGTAAAGAAGAATGAGTAACAATTTTCTAAGCTTTTAGTATTCAACGCTCCTTCCCACACTTTCACTTGGAATAAACTCCAGTGGTAATGGTTTGTTAATTTACCACTGCAAAGCTAGGCACTCCCTCCTCCCATATTTCAATCAAACCTTACCAAAGGTGACTAAATTGTAGAGGGAATAAAATCTGCGTTATTTAAAAGGTTTCTTACGTCTCTATCTGCTCTACCTGTATCTGCTCACCCTTCTTAGGGGAGCTGTAGTTAAACAACGCCACAGTAGTTATCCTAATAGCCTCTGCAGAACAGAAATATGACTTTCTTCTTGGGTCCATTCAGAAGACCCAAACACTTTGAAAGAAAGCTGGACACAGCTGAATGTTCTGTTTTCTGGAATCCAGGGACAGCCTCTAAAAAAAAGTCTTTGTGTACAAAACTCTGGGACACAAATTTCTCCAAGAACATCAAGAATTGGATTATTCTCATATAAAAGCACTTAAATTCTACAAGGCCAGAGATATGAAATCAACCTGATGTGATATAATCTCATCCCCAGATATAGCTGAAGACATACCCCTTTAATGCAGGCTACCAACTGTATTTTAAACAAGCAGATCCCGGACACTTTCCACAGCAGATGCCCTCCCTCTCCCCTTTACCTGCCTCTGTATTCCAACTAAACCACTGCTGTACTAACAATTCCCCCAGTAGCTTCAGGACTGACCATTTAACACCTGTCCTGGTTTCAGTTAGCACAGAATTAATTTTCTTCCTAGTAGCTGGTGGAATGCTGTGTTTTGGCTTAGGATGAGAAGAGTGCTGATAACACCCCGATGCTTTAATTGTTGCAGAGCAGTGCTTATACTAAGCCAAGGACAATCTCAGCCTTTTGCTCGGTCCTGCCAACGGGCAGGCTGGGGGTGCAGTAAGAGCTGGGAGGGGACAGACCCAGGACAGGTGACCCAAACTAGCCAAAGGGGTATTCCATACCATCTGACGTCATGCTAAACAATATATAGGGGTGGCTAGCCGGGGGGAGGGGGCCGGACTGACCACACTGAAGGAAGCAGGATTCAGGCTTCAACATAGTGTATACAGTCCACATATCACTTTAATGGTGTTAAAAATGGCAAAAAATGTCGGAGTTGTTCCCATGAGACAATCCAAAGGTCTCATCAAAACCAAAAGTGTTCTGGTTTTGTCCTTTTCAACAGGAAATTGAATTCATTCATGCAAGCATATATAAAGTTACAAAATTAAACAAAAATTGTTTTATTAAAGACTTTTTTTTTAATTCCTGTTTCAAAAGATGTCTCTCTCTTGATTCATTTCAATATTGATTTTCTATTAAATTAAAATTAGAAAAAGATGGAGAAGGATTTCTCTTGTTATCGTTCAACAAGTTACCCCTCCTATGAAGAGAAGTACAACGTATTTAACACTCATTTCTTTTTCTTGTGTTGTTCTTGTTTCCATGACTTTGTAGACTTGTGCCAAATAAATTTCTCTGCCTCTTAGAGAAGGCTGTGCTGCTTAATAAATGCAGTTTGCATATCACCTGTTAACTGGAGTGCTATATCTCTATACAGCTCCTGACTAATATGAAATTCTTCCTCATGCCAGATCTTCCCATCTGGAGTGCGAATCTTTGTTTCAGCAGGATTGAAACCTGAAAGTAAACAATTTAGGAGTTTAAAATAGCTGTTTAAGATGTAAATAAATATTTTGGGGGATGAAGGGAGTAATTACTTACTCGGGAAATTCCCAAGTAAGAAAAGAACTACTTGAATTTCTAATAATAAATTAAAATAAAGCAACATACCTGTCTGCTGCCTGCTCATAGTTCAAAAACAGCAGACTGGATGAAGAAAAGACTTACCAAAAATGCTAAAGGCTTCCTCAGTCTATAAAATGTTACTAACAACTTGGAATGTAAAAAATGTATCAAAATAAATCCAAATAGTAATACAGCAAGGTTACTTTTTATAGTAATTTGTAAGAAGACAGGAAGAATTTTGAAGGATTTCGTATTTTAGTAGAGTGGCAAGAACTTCTTTGCTTTCCTGACCATATTTGTGAGCATACCATTCTGTCCACTCCTGTACGGCCCAAACACAGCAGTGATTAATTTCCATGCTCTAACATGGTGCTGTGCTAATTGATCTTTGCTCCTTCACCATGAATAACTAATAGGGGGATTCTGTGCCTCCATACCTTTGTATGCTGGAGCAGCAGGTGCGGCTGCCACTTTCCTGACTTTGGGAGTAACAGCATTCTCCACATTTGTGATCACTACAGGTTGCTCAGCGTATCCTGAGTGTTGTCCTCTGCCACCCAGCTCTTCAGAATGCTCCCACTGCTTTCGAATCCGCTCCTTCAGCTTCTCCAACTTAGCATCATGCTGCCGCCGTTTCAAGATTTCCAGCCTATGAGCACTAGAAGTACTCATAGTAGAAGGGGAAGACACTTTCAGTTCACTGTCCTGGGACGTGTTACTCAGAGGAGTTTTAGTGCTACACTCATCTCCTCTGGAGCCAGCAGTTTTTTCCTCTTCCAATCTTGGAGGTGTGGCAGCTTTAAGAAATGCCTCATTTTGCAAAGCATCAATTGCTGGTCGGTCATTCAAATACCTAACAACAGTCTCATCTGCAGCAGAAGATGATGGGCTTTCAAAATCTCTGCCGTGTAGATCTCGCTCATCTCTGTCATGCATCATACGGCCCATTACTTCAGTCTTCCCTTCTGCTTCACAGAAGTCCAAACTAGACAGAAGTTGCTTGGCCTCCAATTGGCTGGAACCGTGATACGGCAGAGAACTGTATGGATCCCTGCTGTAATAAAAGCAAGAAAAACTTCACCATCAGAAGCACAACTGTAGGACCTTCCAAGCCAGCTATTAGCATGCTCATTAACTGAAGGAATGACTTGTCTCCACTTTAAAGGCAAGTTGTTTTAAAGGTTGAGCATGATATATTTAATAATGCAAGTCTGACAAAACCAAAAGAAGTTGCTATTCAAAATTTAAAGTACTTTCTGCACTCTCTGAATAGGACTATATAGATAAAATTGAAAACCTAAATTAGGGCACAAAGGAAAAAAAAAATCAGGAAGCAGTGACATCACCCTTTAATTAAAAGAAAGCTTTAAATAAAAGCCAAGTGCACAACTTAAGTGACAAGCCTCATTAACATATGTTCTCTAAAACAAAGCAGTGCACCCATGCACAGTTCCTTGAAAGCACGCTCATTAGCTGAGAAAACAAATAAATTGCACAAAGACCCCTGCCACATAATTGAGCATTAAAAAGGCAAGCCACTCACAACACCTTCAGAGTAAACTGTATTGCAACAAACGTAAATGTTACTGAGAACAGAGAAGTTCAGCAAGCATTGTGTGCAGAGTTGTTCAGTTAACAAAACTATTCCAAGATTACAAAACTGATCCAAACCAGCCTCCCATGAAAGGAAAGAAGGACAACTCACACAAGAAGTGAAACAGGAGACCAAAACTTCAGAGGAAGGATAACAATTATTGATAGACATGAAGATGAATTAAAAAAAGGAAAAACACCACTACTGTTCCAACTCTATTCAGTCAGCAGCAATTTGACTTCACTGAGAGAAGACTTAGCACAAAAAATGCCAAGCATGTGTTCAAATCCATCCAAAAAGTATTACCAACCCAATCAAGCTATTCATGAGGGATAAGGCCTGTGCTTATAAAACACAAGGAGCTGAAGAAGGTACAGTAAAAGTCTTCTAAACTCTGATGTAATAGCAAGTTATAATCACTTTATTTCTGCTGCAGGTTCTCTTTCTGAAAGTTTTTAAAGCACCCTACAGTAGCTTATAGAAGCAGTACAGTACTTAACACGTAGGGAAAAAAACAGGCTTGCTGTATTTATCTTCACTCCTCACACCCCTCCACATTCTCTGGCCTGTAACATTCTCAGCCACTTTTCTCCTTGATCCAGCCGTTCTTATTCTTTCAGTGACTAGTTTTTGGGTGATACACAGACAGACACCAAACCAAATGCACATTTTGTACTACTTTCTTGTTCCACACTGTCCTATGGTAATACATTTGGAAACGTGCTAAAGAACTGATGAAATAAAGTTGGAAAAGCATGAGGAAATAATCTCTTTGGTCCTTCTTACAAACCTTATAACTTAAGAAACGTATCAGGCCACTGTTAGCTTGGTGAGATGGCCCCAGTTCAATGCATTTGACTTTAGACTCATTCTCTGAACAAAAAGTAAATTTGTAACATTTCTAAAAAATGAATAAACTTTTGTTCAACACCACATGGTGCTCATGTGGGTGGGCAAGGGGAGGAAGCAAATCAATTTCTGAGTTGCATTCAAAAACATCAGAATTAAGTTAATTCTGATCTGAGCATATTTGAACTGTCAGTTGTCTCAGCACTAACCTGTATGAAGCCAACGGTTCACGAAATTCCACGCGGTTGTTTTTCTTCACATTGCTTTCAAGGGTTGTCGCTCGAAGAGGGCTGCGTGAGGACTTCTCCTTGCTTGATTTAGTTTGGCTGGAGGACCGGGAAGCTGAAGCAGAAAACAAAAAATCATCTATATATGCCTATTTCCTCTCCACAAGGAGAAGACTCTTAGGGCAGAACAATTAAGCAAAGAGTTTTGGAGGGTGAGCAAGCAGCAGAATAGCATCTGAAGTACCCTTTCTCTTTCAACAATTTGATCACAGGAACTAGAAGCAAGCTAGCACATGCTTGAAGCAACGAAATTTATAGAGAGAAAATAATTCTTAAACATTAATTAGAAGTAATTAAACCTATGGATGCTGGTGGTGCTGCCACTAGAGGTCGGTCTGCCACATGCACTGTAGAAAAACCAGCATTACCAGGATGTTCTAAAAAGTTGATGTTAAAACAAAATAAAGTATCAGATCAGCATTCATTCAGGGTGTAAGAGTTGACAAACACTAAAAATATAAACAGCTTCTCCAGTGTAAACACGGGCATATACAACTGTTATCCAAAGACTCTCATGAAGTATCTGGATGCAGCAAGCACTCAGCAACGGGCGAGTCCTGTCACTCCCTCCAGCCAGATGACTATGTTAGCACACCTTCTTTCCCAAGCTAAGAAAACATTAGTTTCTCCTGGGCAATTAGTCTTTCATCAGTAAAGATCATAATCAGGAGACAACTTGGGTGCATGAAGGAAAGGGAAAAAATAAAACAAAACAAGTCTTACCAGAATGCAGTGGCTTTACCCTGCCTTGCATGCTATATCCTAAATTATACATACCCTTTCTGCTTATTTTCCTGCTTGCGCTAGCAGAGGGCTTCTTGGCATCCATGACAGAATCAAACACAGCTGTGCTGGTGGGAGCTATTTCCAACTTGTTCTCTATATGACGTAGCTAGAATTTGAAGATAATACATGTAAGAATATTGTTTTCAATTTTTAAACCACAAGTATTTTCTCCTAATGTGACAATTTTTTCCTCATTTTTCATAAAGAATAAAACTTCAGGCAAAAGCAACTTCACAATGCTCATGCTGCAAAACTGGCCTTATGACCAGAAACTGTAAGAGTATTAAGATTTATTTAAAAAGACTGAATTAGGTTTTGCTGCATAGTTTTGTTTCCATAAGTAGGCTGTTGTGAAGAAATTAATAACAACATGCCATTCAGAGTCTTAACACAGCGTCAATGAAGTATTAATTCCACTTGGAATATGTTCTATAATGCTCTTTTCAAAAAGAGAGCATGATACAGGATTTCACAAGTAAAATCCCACACTGATGCTCGGCTATTTGAAGTGACAAGGCTCTGGAAAAGAGCTGAATTCCCCCCAAATTCAAGCTGTTTGGCTTTACTGAAGTCAGTTTCTTAAAAAATACAGTGCAATTTCCCAAGCATCTAAGTTAAGTTCCCACTGAAAGACCTGAAAGACAGCAATTCAAATGCTCAAAGTAAACTGAAGAACTATAAAACACCCTGGCAGAGCCCCAGTTTCTGACTGTTTTGTAGTAAGCAGGAGAGAGCAGTTGTTTTCAAAATTAAAAAAAAAAAAAAAAAGTAGAACTCCACATTTTCTTAGATAGAAAGTAAAGTAACACTAGTAACACTATACTTGAGACTTAGCAGGTAGCACTATACACTCAAGACTAAGCTTGCTCTGGCAAAAATTTCTTCTGTTGCATATGGAAAACATTTTCCAAAATACAGGACTGTTCAACATGCAGATACTCCAGCCATGTGCTCAATTTTCAACTCATCTAGCAGATCACTGAGTAAAACAATATTTAGTTAATGCTATTGCAACTGCTGATTTGAAAAGAGGTAAGAAAAAGAGTAAGTACTTACAGCAGCCTTAGTCTGAGAAAAAGTAGCCCATGCTGTAGTTGGATCTTGGAGAGCAGAAACAAATAAATACATCTCTTATTAATAAATGGAAAATAATGAAAGAAAATGTCACTTCAAAATAATTTTCCTTGGCTCATTAATCAAGTTCTCTGAATGACTCAATTCCAGCCTGTCAATATCCTCAGTGAGAGGCTGTTATCAG